AGATTTTACAGTATTCTTCCCCTGCCACGCCCACCAAGCCATGCCATGCCCACCAAGCCACACCCACAGAACTGGTAGTAAAACCTTTTGAAACACACCACTGGTTGCAAATAGAAGGTGACAATGATCCCAGTTAAAAATCCAATATGATTTTAAACAATCTATAGTCTAAAGGTTTAAAAGCTGCATTTTTAGGATTTGGCTTTGGGCACCATCACTTTCTTTTTGTAAGGCTGCATCTATTACATATACAGAGCCCCATCATACTTAGTTAGTTTGAAAGTTGGTAATCCAAGCCATCTGGAGTTCATTAACTATGGGAAAAGCACTAACCATAAAAAACTCTGGCAATCAGTTTTATAGACCTGAATGAAACTTCATTTTAAATTGGATTATTTGTGTGTATATATACTTATATATAGACATAGACACACATACATGTTAAATGTATTGTATATACAATATATTTAACATAATTACTAGATTTGTACAATGCCGTGCAGAATCATGGATCAGCCAAACAGGGTGAAACCATTTTGTGGCCAAAATATAGTGTCCAGAGATGGGTGTTTTTTTGATAAACTAAACCACAAAAATCTAATCAGACTTAACATAAACCAGGTTTAGAGTATAATTCCAATTTAGTTAAATAAAAAGAAAAGTCAAAGGGTTACATCCATGCATAGCTCTTGACTTGTTATTAGAATTGACTGGTAACTATTTGCCTGGATGAGGTCACCTCCACAGATTCTCGTCCCACCATCAAAGTATCCTCAGTGGAGGGTGATGTCATCCATTTCCGTCTTCCAGAAATGGTTGCCAGCTAATTCCAGCAGTTGGGTAAGAAATACAGATGCAGCCTCAGTCACTGGCGAACAAATTTAACACAGAATTAGGCAATATTTTGTGTGCTGTTGCAACAACTTTATTCTAAAAACACTTGTGTTGTTACTGTATACATAGCTTATTCTTTGTGGTGTCACGTTACACACGTTAAAAGGAAAATAGAATAAAAGGGAAGCTGGCAATATAAACATTACATAAAACTGCCAAGTCTGCGTAACCATCAAGGAAAAGTAGCATAAAGCTAATTCCATTGAGGATTACAATTAATTGAAATATCTGGGAATATAAAAAGAAGTGTGCTTGATACCAAAGAAAGACTGTGCCAGAATATAAATAAGATGTGCCCAAGACATTTTGCTGCCTGAGGCAGAGATCCAATCACCGAAACTAAAACTTGGCCAAGTTATTTTGGCACTGTCTTAGCAATAAAAATAGAATAATTATTAAACATGCACACAGTTCCTTAACCATTCATTGTTGCCTTAATATTCAAACCCTGCAGCTTAAGGCAACTACCTGGGTATAATATATGACTCATATGCCCTTAAATAACTATTAAATTGTTCTTTGGAAAGCAAATATGATCCATGTAACAAATCTCAACCTGCAGGCAGTCAAATGCCCCAATTTCAATTCACTGAACTTTTAAATATCTGCTGGAGATCTAAAAGAGATGCCAAAAAAAATCAGTCATAATGATCAAGGAAGAAAAACAACCCAGAGCAATGTGTCCACTAGAAAAAGGGAGTAAGAGACTATATATATAAGACTATTGATAAAGAGACAGCAGGTTTATTATTATTATTATTATTATTATTATTATTATTATTATTATTATTATTCACAGGAATAGGTAGATCCTGCCTTTGGGGACACTGGAACCCAAATTTTTCTTTTGGTGTTTGCCAAGCTCCACTGTGTATATAGGTGCAGAGGACTACAAGAACTGGGCTACAAAAATATAGAGTACACTAAAAAAAGGTAAAGGTTTCCCCTGTCCAATTTTGTCCGACCCTAGGGATGATGCTCATCTCCATTTCCTACCTGAAGGAGCCAGCATTGTCTGAAGACGTTTCCGTGGTCATGTGGCCAACATGACTATACAAAGAAGGTGCACAGAATGTTATTAACTTCCCACCGAAGTGGTACCTATTTACTACTTGCATTTACATGCTTTCAAAATGCTAGGTTGGCAGGAGCTGGGGCAGGCAGCGGGAGCTCACCCCATCACACAGTACTTGGGTCTCAAACTGCTAATCTTTTAGTTGACAAGCTCAGTGTCTTAACTGCTAGGCCACTGTGTCCTCACAGAGAGTACTAAATAGCAGCAGAGAGATACAAAAAATTTAATGTCTCACGAATTTTGGCAGCCCAAAAGTAGAATCTTTATTTTTTTTAATCTCCTTTTTCCTTTTCTTTTTCCTCTCGCCAACTGTCAATCCTTTTTCTTCTCTCTTAAAGTAAAGACTCACATGAGCTCAGTTTCTAGTATATGTAAATGTAATAGCAATAGCACATACTTGTATACCGCTTCACAGTGCTTTACAGTCCTCTCTAAGCAGTTTACAGAGTCAGCATTTTGCTCCCAACAATCTGAGTCCTCATTTTACCAACTTCGGAAGAATGGAAGGCTGAGTCAACCTTCAGCCTGGTGAGATTCGAACTTCCAAACTGCTGGCAGCAGGGAATCAGCAGAAGTAGCCTGCAATACTGCATTCTAACCACTGTGCCCCCACAGTTCATATGTTCATGGAAACAATTAAAAAGGGTGGGGGGAGTTGCCAATGTCTTCTTCCAGCATTTCTCAGTTTAAGGTAAAGCCCTGGGATTTTTCTGGTGATTGTACATCCAGGTTCTAACCAAATTTGACTCTTCTTGGCTGAATTCCTTCACTTCACTACAAGACCAGCTACCTCTTTCTGCCATCTGGTGACTTCCCCAAATCCTCTCAGCTTACAGTTGTCCTTCTTCAAAAGAAAAGGCAAATTTACCATTCACTTGCGTTCGAACAGAATTATACAATAAGCTTTCATCACATCTGCACCTTTCTGCAGCTGAGATTTCTAAAGTGGCCAGAGGAGAAATAACTGGGAAGATGTCAAAATCTTTGAAATTAAATTTGCAAACTCTTTAAAACTTATTTTTTCTTCCCCCTCATTAAAACTTTATCTTCCCCCCTTTAAAACTTATTTTTCTCCCCGTATCCTTTCTGCAACCAGATCCTCTCTACATTCACATCGCCCATCCAATTTAAGCCACATATAAACAATAATTAACAGGGGATTAATGAAATCCCTCTAATTGGTTTAGTTTAAGGAAGTGCTTCATTGAGCTCTGATTTCTCCCTTCTCAGATCATTTTGTACTTATATTACTTCGGTATAATGTTTTGCCATTTTTTGTACTTTGTTCATTTCCCAACTAGCTTGAAACAATATGAAACATTTATTTTATAACAATCAACCAATCTCTACATTCCAAACACCAAGAGATCCTTTCATTGTATTGTCTTCTTACAGAAGTATACCAATTCTTCAAATATCAAATTATTCCCTATTAGTTCATATTCTTGTTTTGATACATAGAAATAGTTTCTCTTCTTATGATTAAAATAATATGTCTTGAAAAACAATGTTCATTTCATAATTTCATATTTTGCTTTTAAGTAATTCTTCCTTTAAAGCAGGGGTGTCAAACTGAAGGCCCATGGGCCAGTTCTGGCCCACAAGGTGCTTAGATCTGGCCTGCGGGGCTGCCCTGGAAACAGCGAAGGACTGGTCCGTGGTGCCTCTGCCAGTGAAAACAGCGCAAGGGAAGACTGCGCGCAGCCCTCCCAGGTCCCATTTTTTGTCGCAACGACCTCCTGCAGCCGTCTGCTAGCGAAAACAAAACTTCATTTTTGCTGGCAGATGGCTCAGGCCACCACAGGCACCCCTGAAACTAGTGATATCAAGCTGGCCATGCCCACCCGCCCCCTGAGGTCAAACATAACCCTGATGCGGCCCGCAATGAAATTGCGTTTGACACCCCTGCTTTAAAGGCTTAAACACTTTTCCTTTTTGAAGCATGACTAATATTTCTGCCTTTTTGAAGCATGACTAGACTAATATTTTGAAAAAAAATTACTTTATCTCCTTCCTAATTTAAATGTTCGTGCCCATCAACATTTTGCAAAATTCTGTCTCTCACCCAAGCATTTTCTTTATTATATCCCTTGGTGTTTGCATGTAATTAAACCTAGATCTGATTGAATCTATGGCCAAGTTCCACATCTTTAATCTAAAAGCTTTAAATCAGATAGCTTGGCATTAAGTTTTGAGAGGAGGTATCCAAAAGAAGAAGACTTTTTTACATTTTGTCAGATTCCTCTAATTAGCTAATTATTTCTTCTGTTCTGATCCTGTACATCAGCCAGCTCAGGTCCAAAGTCTGCAACATATTTTATCATCAAAAACTTGCTCACTGTGCATTACAGGGTCAGAAACATGCTAGTAGTCAAAGCAACCTCTGAAACCTGAGAATACAATTCTGTTAGTTGTTTATTAACTTGTTCAACTTTTCCTGCCCACTCCTTTTGGACTATATTAGTTGACTTATCCCATTTTGCCCGTACTTCTGGTTTGCATTGTTTACCTTGATTTTCTATTCAGTCATTTGTCTCAACTGTGCTTGATGTCTACATTCTCCTCTGGAACCTGGTCGTCCTTCACCCTATCTTCTTCATAACTAGAGTGAGGTGCTCTTCAGCTGAATCATCCATGTAAGCCTTAATTCTTCTACCCTTTTTAGAATTACCTTTCTTATTCATCTACTTAATACTATTCCTGTCTGTTATTTGACTATTCAGACAAACATGAATGGTGAAAACGATCAGACAAGGTGAGCTGGGAAGAAAGCAGTGTTACAATATCTCAGCAATTACCACAAAGAAGAGGGAGTCAAGCTAGTCTCCAAAGCACCCGAGGACAGGACAAGAAACAATGGGTGGAAACTAATCAAGGAGAGAAGCAACCTATAACTAAGGAGAAATTTCCTGACAGTTAGAACAATTAATCAGTGGAACAACTTGCCTCTAGAAGTCGTAAATGCTCCAACACTGGAAGTTTTTAAGAAGAGATTAGACAACGATTTGTCTGAAATGGTAATAGGGTTTCCTGCCTAAGCAGGGGGTTGGACTAGAAGACCTTCAAGATCCCTTCCAATTCTGTTATTGTATTCTAAAGCAATCAATTCAATGTACCATGATTCCCAGTTACTAACCATGCCTTCCCCAATAATTTTTTTAAAAGAAGGATCCTATCTTAGTTGGGAGAGGAGCATTACAGATAGTCCTCGTGTTACGATCACAGATGGGAAAAATTGTGCTAAGCAAGATGGTTGTTAAGTGAGTCACACCTGCTTTTACAACCTTTTTTTCCCATAGTTGTTAAGCAAATCACTTAAGTTCTTTAGAGAATCACATGGTCAGTTAGCCAATCTGGCTTCCCCCAGACGTTGCTTGTAAGAAGCTGAATGGGAAACTCACAAATGGCAATCACATGACTCCTAGATAAAATCTTGCCAGACTGAGGGCTCTACTATCTGTATCTAAAATATACTCTGTGAACAATTAAGGAGAGGCTATCTTCACTGTCTTTACAAAATTTTAAAAAATGGTAAAAGAGTCCCTGTGGATTTTTGTTATGCTGTCGTTGCCGACTATAGGGGGCAGTGCTCATCTCCGTTTCAAGGCCATTGAGCCAGTGCTGTCCGAAGACATTTCATGTGGCCAGCATGACATTGCAGAGTGATGTTAGCTTCCCACTGAAAGTCACCTAGAAGTGGTACCTATTTATCTACTTGCATTTGCATGCCTTTAAACTGCTAGTGCTGTGGCTTGTTCGCCGCCAGCCCCTCCAGCAGCCGAATCAGAGGAGAAGGTGGCATGGGAGTCAGGGTCAGATCAAGGCAACCTGAGAGCTTGGAGGGGGAAGAAGGAATGGAGCTGGCAGAGAGAGAGAGAGACAGAGGCCATCCGGAGATGGGGCGAGGACAGGAACTCAAACCATCATGTGGCACTTGGGTATTGAGCCTGGGCTGTCGGCTTTCCAGCTGACAAAACCAGCATCTTAACACAAAATATCTGAACTAAATTGCCTCTTTACTTTTCTGGAATGTACCCTCTCCCACCTGGGAATCCATCTCCTTGCTACATTCCATCACATTGGGTGTGCAATGGAGGGAGCCCATTTCAAGGCTATGCTGAGTATGCTTTTTCTGATTGTCCAGCTAACTTGGTTTTTTTTATTTCTTGTTTTATTTTAATATTTGCATGTGTTTTCAACTGTTTTTAATGTCGTGAGCCGTCCAGAATCATGTGCTTGAGAAGGGCAGCTATATATGTTTCTGCCGAATTCACATGTTCTAACAGCCTTTTCTTCCCTGTAATGCTTTCTTAGGGACAATGAGATCAGAAGTGGTATTCAGCAGGTTCTGACCAGTTCTGGAGAACCAGTAGTGGAAAGTTTGAGTATTTCGGAGAACTGGTAAATGCCACCTCTGACTGGCCCCATCCCCATCTATTCTCTGCCTCCCGAGTCCCAGCTGATCAGGAGGAAATGGGGATTTTGCAGTAACCCCTGCCATGCCCACCAAGCCATGCCCACCAAGCCACGACCACAGAACCGGTAGTAAAAAATCTGAATCCCACCACTGAATGAGATACAGTGGGTCACTTTTATCACTATTATTGCTACATCAAAAGTGAAAAAGTGGGAAGGAATTGTAGCAAAACCAGAACTTCAATTGCATGACTGAGGCAACATCTTGATTTTTGCACTGCCCCCACACAGCCCTCAACCTCAGAAAGAAGTCAGTCTCTGATGAACATCTTTGCTTTACTAAATGGGCATGATAAGTTATTTCATTCCTATGCAGTCCAGTTACTGAACATCTACTGAGGAAAAAAAGCATGACCAATTATGATTTGGCGCCTGTAAAAAAATAAATCAAGAAAGCTTGAAAAATAGGGTCTGACAATGATAGGAGTCTGGGCAGAGAATGTCACAGAATGGGTGCTTCAATAAGGATATTGCACAGGTAGTTCTCGACTTACAACAGAGCCGGGGTGGCACAGTGGTTAGAATGTAGTACTGCAGGCTACTTCTGGTGATCACCAGCTGCCAGCAGTTTGGCAGTTCGGGACTCACCGGCTCAAGGTTGACTCAGTCTTCCATCCTTCCGAGGTCGGTAAAATGAGGACCCAGAATGTTGGGGGCAATAGGATGACTCTGTAAACTGCTTAGAGAGAGCTGGAAAGCATTGTGAAATGGTATATAAGTTGTGCTGTTTCAGATAGTGAGTTAAAGTGAATTAGTTACCTTAAGAATTAAGAGCTGTCTCCTTAAGAGATTGCATGGTGGGAGATGTAGAGAGAGATTGCATTATGGGAGATGTAGTCCATGACTACTGTGTGGCTGATTGGCCACTGAGGCTCTCTGCCTGGGTGCAGAACAAAGACCCGGCTATTTTGAACTACCACAGAAGAGAGAAGCATGCTTTCTGAACAGGGGGATAGAACTACTGTCATTTTACACTAGGAAATGGGACAGATTATGAAATAAGGATGAATCTCACCATGACTTACCATGACTCATCACGATTGTAAGTCTGTGATTCTTGAGGATACCCTAATAAACAATTTGTATGAAAACCTATTTGCTAGAGTTTATCTGTCTGTTCCCAGTGGAGCCAGATGCCTGGGGAACAGAACATAAGTGCTATTGCTATTGCTAGTGACCGTTCAAAGTTACAACGGCACTGAAAAAAGTGACCGTTTTTCACACTTATGACCGTTGCAGCATCCCTATGGTCACATGATCAAAATTCACATGCTTGGCAACTAATTCACATTTATGGTTGCAATGTTTTGGGGTCATGCGATCACCTTATCCAACCTAATAAGCAAAGTCAATGGAGAAGCCAGATTCACTTAACAACTGTGTTACTAACTTAACAACTGCAGTGATTCACTTAACAACCCTGGCAAGACAGTTTGTTAAATAGGGCAAAGTTTACTTAACAACTGTCTCACTTAGCAACAGAAATTTTGGGCTTAATTGTGGTTGTAATTTGAGGACTATGTGTATTATAATATTGTGAAAAACTATACTTACCCTTATATTAAGAGTAATATGTCTAAAGAGAAATATCACATAGCAAAACAATAAAACCTTTGTATGTATTGTACCTTGGCATTAATCAACTTCTGTTTTTTATGTCAATATAAGTCCGCCTTTAGATAGCCTGTAAAATTCTGTTTGCAGGTAAAGTCATAAAACAAATACATGCCCAACCTTATTCTTATTACAAAGCAGAAACCTGATATTTCTGTTGCTTCCTCTTTTACCAGCCATTGTTTCTCTGAGACAGACACCAAACCCATAAGAAGAACAGCAAACACAACTAACAAATGGGGCTTATAAATTCTACACAACTGAAAATCAAAGAAGCCCAGATTATAATGTTTGGACTAGATTCATCTGGGAAATCCACGCTTCTATACAAGCTAAAATGTAATGAAGTCTTCCTAACAGAGCCAACAATTGGTTTTAATGTGGAGATGATTAAAACATCAAAAGATATGACCTTAACAATATGGGATGTTGGAGGTCAGCAGAAAATGAGGACTGCTTGGGACAACTATTTGGAAGACATGGATTGCTTGGTCTACGTTGTTGATAGCTCTAACAAGCGGCACTTGGAAGAATCAAAGAAAGAGCTGGAGCTTATTTTAAAACATGACAATATTAAAAACGTACCTGTGGTTGTACTAGCAAACAAGCAGGATCTTCCTGGAGCTCTGAGTGCTGAAGAAATAACTCAGAGACTCAACATGAAGAAGCACTGCCAAAACCGAAACTGGTATGTACAGCCTTGTTGTGCACTTACGGGACAAGGACTCTCAGAAGCATTCCAAAAAGTGACAAAATTTGCAAAATCTTGCATAAAATCTAAACAAGAGGGCTTTGCAATTTTCAAACAACTTTAAACTATCATTTCATAATCTGGATCATTAATTCATTGCTGGGGTAGAACATTAGCCTGTTCATTAACCGTCAGATTCTGTAATATGTTTTCCTATTTTTTCATGAAAGTGAAACATTTGTGATAGAGTTCGGGCCAATTGCTCATGTCTGTTGGCCTTCAAAAATATTCTGTTGCTGTACAGAAAGAAATATAATTAAATCTGAAGCATGAAACTGCAAAAAGAATAAAGTCAGCCACAGTATAAATGATTATGGAAGTGTGTGTGTGTGTTTCTGTACGTGTCATCCATTCTGCATCCAACAATTATGCAATAATTAATGTAACAATTTTGAAGCTTCTGCAATAAGTAATTGGAAATGATTAGACAAAACCCAACTTGTCATTAGTATGCTATTACTATAAAATCAAATAAAATATAGATTTGCAGTTCTGCCCTAAAGTTTATGCTAGCATGTCTTCCACACAAAGATAAAATGTTCAATATAATATATAAATTGTAAAAATATGTTTTATTTTAATTAAACCAGGTAAAGTGCACAAAAGGGTAAGGTGTTTACTTTTTTATTTCCTTGTTTTACAGCTGCCTAAAGTAATTATATCATATCCAGGGGTGGATTCTAAATTTTTTTACTACTGATTCTGTGGGTGTGGCTTATTTTGTGGGCGTGGCTTGGTGAGGGGTAATGTGACTGGATGGGCATGGCCAACTTTTTTTTTTTTTTTACTTTTAAAAGCATTTTTCTACAACCTTAAGAGGTTGCAGAAAAAAATACTTTTAGAAGCCTCTGACGATCAGGCAACTCAGCTGGGATCGCCAGAAGCTTTTAAAGGCATTTTTTTCCCTACAACCTCATCGGCTGAAGAGGTTGCAGAAAAAAATGCTTTTAAAAGCCTCTTATGATCCCAGCTGTGCCGCACTGTGCTGCTTTTAAAGCCTCTTATGAGCTGTGCCGCACGATCATTAGAGGCTTTTTTTTTTAACTTTTAAAAGCATTTTTTCGGCCGAAGAGGTTGTAGAAAAAAATGCTTTTAAAAGTAAAAAAAAAAGCCTTTGATGAGGTGGGCAGGGTAAGCAAGTGGCAACCGGGCTGGGGACCGGTTCAGGGGCATGACCAACTAATGTTATTACCGGTTCTCCGAACTACTACAAATTTTTACTAACAGTTCTTGCAAACCGGTGTGAACCAGGAGCAACCCACCACTGATCATATTCCAAAACAAAACAGAAAAGACTTCACATAGAAAATCTTTAATATAATGTTTCTTTAATTTTCATAACTCAATAGTATCCAAATTCTCTCTAAGAATTCATCTAGTATAAAACATTTAATACCACTACTACTACTAATAATAATAATTTTATTTCTATACCGCCCTTCTCCGATGGACTCAGGGCGGTGTACAGCCTATTAAAAGCACAAAGACAAACAGCAATTAAAATAATTTAAAATTATTAAATAATTTTAATTATTAATACTAATTGATACCGGAGATATTTTGTCCGAATGGACAAGAAATTCTCCTGCAAGGTAGGTTCACAAAGAACACAAACCACAGCAGTAAATAAAAGGAGTCTTTTAACAGTTTGAAGTCTTTACTAGGGAACGCATTCAGAAACATACATTCCATTTCTTGCATTTTTAGTGATATGTGTATAAAATGTACAGAATCAGAACCTGGGTTTTGCTTAGCCAGGAGAATACATTGTTAATTTGAAACATCTTTTATACTGGAAGAATGTAATGAGTGTTTGATGCATTGCTTTGTTGGAAAATGCTTCATGATGCTTCATATAAGTCATAATAGGTATAATAATCATTTGCATTAGTAATATGAAATTTCCACTTTCACTTGGTTTCTAACTATCATAGAATATCATTGGTAATAAAGCATTTGCACCTATAAAGAGGATACCTGTGAACAGGTATCTTATAGAGAGACATCTATTATGTTTGCATATTTTTAATGTGTTCAAATGTAAAAAGTCTGCCTTGGTTGAATTTTTCTCATTCCAGTCAAAGGACTGCAATGATTATATGGTGACCAATTAATATTCTTGCCATGTCTTTCCTAAATATAAAAGCATCTTCATATCTTCTTTGTTTTTCACCCCTGAGTAATAACAGGGTGATCTGAGCCAACCCCTGTCCATCTCAATTCTTTGATGCCTAAGATGTCAGTGCATAGTCATTTCATTTTATCTTTTATTGTCTTGAACTTTTCCATTTCATGCTTCTTACACTCCATGTTCCCACTATAATTTGTATAACTTCAGATTTTCTTTTTCTGAATGGCAGTATCAGCAACTCAACATCCCGAAGGCTTTAATCTAGCCACATCATAAGTGCCATTAGAGCCTGAAAGATCCCCAGCTCTTCTTCAATAGTAGGTTAAGTGCCATCAGACTTTGCTTAATGATTCAGATTTATTTAATTATCATGGCGATTCACTTAACAACCATTGCAAAAAGGACATAAAATTTGGTTGTTCATATGATGATCCACTGTACAACCAACTGAAATGAGTAGGATTGACTAGTGATAGGTTAAGGCCCACCTCAGGGGTGGGTTCTACTTACCTTTACTACCGGTTTGCAACGGGCCGCACACGTGCGCACACTCTTCTGCGCATGCGCAGAAGTGTTCTGATGATGTCGGGGTCGGTGGGTGGAGCCTCCTGCCGGTTTTACCACCGGTTCTATAGAACCGGTGCAAACCGGGGAGCAACCCACCACCAGCCCACCTATATTACTGAAAGTAACTGTTATAGCATGCATTTAAAGTACTTGAAAGTGAAAATTGTTTGGTACATGTATATCACTTACAGGTTACTTTGCCCCGTAAAGTTACTGCACAAATAACATTTTCTGAGCTTTAATGTGTTGTATTATAATTATGGTGTCATATTAATCAGTTTTGAAAAAGATTTCAAAATTCTGACTAACAATGCTAATCATCATGTCAATATGCCCAACCATCATTTAAACCGAGGAAATTATATCAGAGGATGTTATGATGGGGAAGAGTTAAGTATGATTAAAGGAAATGTACGATATCCAAAAAGCGATTGCTATGGTGATGAAGCAATGCTATGGCAACATTAAAAAGAGAAATGTCAGTGTATCCATACTCATGATAGAAACCTTAACCCATTGAATAAGCTTTGACAAGGGGTGATGAATCTTTTTTTCTTCCCCCACCCCAGGAGTGGAAAACAATGGATCTCCAAAGGTTGTAGACCTTCAACACTCAGCACACTCTACCACTGGCCAGCAATATGAGCCCCACCCTTTTCTATGTGCATTGTGATGTCACACACATGGGGAGCTTATGGCATGATGCTATAACACTGCAAATGCTGTTGCCACCATAACACTGGAGATTGAAAATAATATTTGGAGGGTCATAGATGAAAAAAATCAAATCAAAGAGACTATGTTTCCATCTGATCTCCTGAGAAAGGCACCTGTAATGTTTTCTAATATACTGAGATGAAAGTCAGTTCCTTCTGCCCCACAGACTAGGTTAAAAGAGGCATCTTTTCATCCTTTCCATATTCAGATCCCCAGATCAAAGCATCTTGGAAGAAAGGCAAGGAGAACTGGTTCTGACCCATTTTCAAGATTTAAGAAAGGTCACCTAGCAACTTCCAGGGGATAAATATCACCTCTCCTTTTCCAAAAGATATTAAAAGGAACTTCACAACAATCTCTCTGACTCTGTCACCCTTCTTGGCTCCAACTGTGAGTGTGATAATAATATTGTCAGATATCTTGGGCCTTTCACAACTGTCTTATTACAAAGCAACATCTTTCTGAATTTTTTTTTAAAAAAACCTGAAACTTTTACATTATGTACATAGACCACACATGCGAGATATGTTGAATTGATGAATAAAAGAATCAATGAATAAATAAAATACAGAAAGAGGCACAAAATGAAACAACAACATGGTTTTGCATTATTGTTTAAAAGAAAAGATAGGAAGCCATTAAATATTTTACCCAGGGGTTGTTCCTGAGTCAACACTTGGCTTCAGTTCTTAAAGACAACAAAGAAGAATTTGGCCAGTGTCAGAGATGTAAGATTGTACTGACCAGCCAGCAAGAGTTAAATATATATATATATTTAAAACTCCATATGTCCTGAAAAAGCCACTAAAAAGTAGCAATGGATTCAGGGGTAGGTGCTACTTACCTTTACTACCGGTTTGCAATGGGGCCGCGCACATGTGCAGAAGCGTCCAGATGATGTCAGGGTCGGTGGGTGGAGCCTCCCACCGGTTTTACTACTGGTTCTATAGAACCGGTCCGAACCGGGGCAGCCCACCACTGAATGTATTAATATATCTATAGAAAAACCAGTATAATAAAACACGGCTTAAGGATTTCACTGCATCTGATTCACATGCTAACTTTAGGTTCCAAATTTTAAAGTGACATGAATTTATCTATGCTGTATTTTTAAAACTGAGCTCAAAATATATAACTTCAGTGTTGTTTTCTTTTATACATCTGTGTACTCACATTAGACACATAAACGGAGACTTTTGGGATACCCTGTATAAATAAACTGTCTGTGATTCCACAATTCTGGAAGAAGAAAGAAAAAAAATGTTCTGAATGGATCAATCAATATTGGTTACGTGGAGGTAAATCCCATCTGAACTGGCAAGAAAAAGGAATTCAAAAAGATGGGAATGTCATATATAAATCCAAGGAGCACCTGCAAAATAAATAAATAAATAAAAATCCATTACAGACTATTATGATGTTATACAGTAAGTGTATATCCGTAGAAATCTTAAATACACAAAACAGTTGTGATTTCATCCTCCACTGGTTTTAATACATTTCTACAATTGAACAATAATTTAATAGACATTGCTCTGTACTCATCTCTTCATTTTTCAATGTAACTTCTGGCATAATTTTTTTTCTGCTGTGTTTTTCCCTCTTATCTTGCCTCAGTTCCCTCCCCTTCTCTTTCTTTTTTGTTCCATGAATCCAAGATCATCTTCTTTTTAGATGAATAAGGTATTTTAATAACAAAACAAAAAAACCCCCACACATAGCACCAAACTCTCATTTTATTTTCCACCATTTTCCTACCTATTGGTTGTGCAAGGAGTTCTCTTCCTCTCCAAATCAAATCTGGCTTCAAAAAGGAAAGAAGTCCTTAGAGCAAAAGCTGAGACAAGAATTAATCAAGTCTTCACTGCTGCACTCTTTAGTTATTTTTTAAAAATCC